GCATGAGGGCAGGGTGCTCTTGCTCGCTCTCCAGACCTTGGGCCCCCCCTCGCCGCCGCAGTCATGAGCGGCGCCCCTCTCAGTCCGCAGCCTCGTTCTCATCGTCCCTCGTCAGCCTTCCTCCTCATCCTGCTCCTGCTGTTCCTCCTCCTCCTTCTCATCCTCCTCTCCCGACCCGACCGCCGCTCGGCTTTGCTCGCTCGCTCGCTCCTCCTCTCCCGTCGGCCTCCCTCCGAATTGAAGGCGCATGGGTGGTTTCTTGGAGGCTTACCTCTCAGGGACTTCTTGGGGGCTCGGGGGAGGCCCGTCGGAGGCCTCGGGGCTGTTTGGCTTGGGCGCGTTGTTTCCACCAAGGCTCTCCCGAAGAGGCTCGATTGAACCATCTTGGGTGCGTCTGGGCGGGTCTTCGGGTCGTCCTGGAGCCCTCTTGCAGGCCGTCTTGGGTCGGCGGGCGAGGGGGAGAAGCGAGAATGAGAAGGCCTTCTCAGAAGGCGGCGGGACCTGACAGAAGCGCTCGTGCCGTCTGAGAAGTTTTTGTTTGTTTTCCAGGAAGGCTTAGAAAACTTGTCGGAAGGCCGGGGGTCTTGCGAACCTTCTGAGAAGGCTTTCTCCTTCTCACTTCCCCCCCTCGCTCGCCGCCGATTGGGGGTGGCTACCAGGCAGTCTTGGAGATGTTCTGAACAATGGTCGCTGCGAGGGTGGGCCGGCCGTAGAAACACCGCAGAAATCTTGCCATGCAGCAAGAGGCATGATGATTTCACACGGACTCAGGGCTGGCCCCGACCGTTTCCTCTGGAATATTTGTTCGTCCCCGATCCGCTTTTGGTGGTCCGATCCCTTGAGGGCTACCCCCGAGGCCCGACATACAGTGGGGGCCCATGTCAAGAAATACACTGCTTGCCTCCAGGGTGCCCTGGGTCTCTTGGGGTTCGAGGGTTTTGCCATGGAAAGCGCGACGTTCCCACCGAAAATCATGGACGTGGTTTCTTGTGGACTGGCCTGTATGGGGAAAGCCGCCGTCCGAACAGATCGCATCCTTGGAGCTCGGGGCACATGCCGTTCCTCCCACTCGATGGTGGCCGAGCCTGCCGAGGCAAGCCTCTCCGGCGAGGTGCCCCCCTGGCTGCCCTCGCTGCCCCCGGTGCCTCGGGGGGGGGGCGGCTGCCGCCGCGCCGCCCGCGCGCGCGCACCATGCGCCCCCCGCAGCTGCATCTCTCGAGGACGAGTATGAGGCAGGATGCCAGCATAGAAGTTTGCGAACCAGGCTAAGACAGGCTTCCGAGAATATGGTCGGGAGATGGTTTCGGAGGTGGTCCCGAAACGTTGCCTTTTTGATGGATAGCACATCGTGTCCTTATTGGAGATGGTCCTGGTTTCTTCTGCTGCTGGCCGCCAGCAGCAGAAGAGCCATGGAAGCAATGGGGGAGGGAGGGGGCAGAGGAGTCGGTCCCTCCGATCGAGGCCGGCACCGATCGTAGGTTTGTGCCTAGAGGGGTGCATGAACGTGGTCGTGAGAGAAAGTCCTTGTGCTGTAGTGCCTGGGTCTCGCTCGCTCTGCAAAGTGCCTCAGGACCTCCTGGACGATTCCAGAGGCCCCGGTCTTCGGGCTGGTTGTGCGAAAGAAGATTTGAGCGCATTTGTTCCTGGAAGCCGTGAGCCGTGAGGACGTTTCGAGACGTGGCCGGTATGGCAAGTATCATGATGACATTCGAGCTACGCCTAGCGCGGTCCGTGCTCGTACTCCGCCCGACGTGCGTAATGCGCGCCTCGAGTCTCATGTTCTAGTGGAGGAAACGGCACACTGGATCGTCAGCAGCGGTGCGGCCGTTGACAGTCGAGGTTGTGGCCCCGTCGAGCGAGCTGCGAGTCTCGAGCGTGACTGGTTCGGCCCTGAGGGCCGATTGGTGAACCGAGTGGCCGCGGTTGGGAGGCGCGCAGGGAGCTGCCTCACACAGTGCTGCTGTGGCGTGCTGGGGATGTGGCGCACATTCGCTCAGGCAGCTGAAGTCGCTGAGGGCGTCCTGCAAGAAAGCAGGGGCTCATGGCCGACGGGCCATCAGGCGACTCAAGCGCTGCCTTCCCCCAGGGGGCGGGGAATGTGTCTCTGCCACCACTGCAGATGCTTTGGTGAGTCGTCCCCGGGCGAGGGCACCTGCGCATCGGGGAGAAGGGAGGGGGCCGAAGAGAAGGAATAAGAGGTGGGATTGAGCAGAGGGCAAGGGGGCGAAGAGGAGGATCGAGGAGACGGAGGAGGGAAGAGGAGGGGGAGGGTGATAAGGCGTAAGGAGGAGGATGGGGACAACGGGGTGCCCCCCATCCGCCGCCCTCGCCCCCATCCTCGTCCTTCCCCATCCTCGTCCTCGTGACCCCCCCCCATCCGCTCGCACCGTGTATTCCTCGTCTCCGTCCCTCCGCCTCGCCTTCTTTCCCCCCGCCTCCCCCCCTCGCTCATCCGCGTGTTCATCGCGCTCCTCCTCCCAACGTCCTCCCTGCCGGCTTCATTCCTCTCAATCTTCTTCCTCTCCCCCCTCGTCTTCCACTTCGCCATCAACCTTCCCCCTCCCCACTGGCAATCCCCCGTCCTAGCCCTGCCCATCTCGCCTGCTCCTTTCGCACCCCCTTCATCCTCTTCCTCCTTCCCCCGTCTCCTCCCTGCTCCTCCTTCTCCCCCGTTCCCCGCCTCCCTCCTCTTCCCCATCCCCTTCCGCTCCATCCTTCATCATCCTCTTCCTCTTCATCATCGCCATCAGTATACCTTTCCCTCCGCCCCATTCCTCACCATCCCTCGTCCTCCCCGCGTCCCTCCCCCTTCCCGCCTCCACACGTTGTCATCCCTCCTCCCCGGCGCCACCTGGCATTCAGCGCCCCGCGCCGCGGCACCCCCCCCTGCCGCGCGTGCCCTGCTTCCGCCCCGTCCTCGTCACTCCCTGGCGGCGGGGGCGGGTGGCGGAGGCGGAGGAGGAGTCACTCCGGGAGGGGGAGGGCGAGGAGGGGGGAAGGGGAGCAGAGACCAGCACGCATCCTGAAAGATGAAAGACTCATGGTTGGTCGGCCCGACCCAGCCCGAAAGCGTGAGACCCGCGTATGCCGACAAGTTTGTTTCCGCGCGCGGGCGGGGGCGCCCAGCAAATTCGGTTTGCGAGAGCGGCCGCGCGCGGGTGGTCTCTCTCTCTCTCTCTTTCTCCCGCGCGGTCCCCGCTCCAGCCCAACCTACCAACCCTACCTATCCCGTCCTTGTTCCTGTTGCTCATGTGCTTAACTTACCAGGAGTTGGTTCAGGGGCACGGGGGGCACACATTAGTCCGGCTTCTTGGGGTGCTTGTTTTGACCAACATGTTCCCAAGCATTTTTGGGACCCAGATTCCGGGTGTCCGAAACACGTTCGGGAGAGTCATGTCACAAGTGATTCGGGTTGGACAATAGGGCCCACATTTTTGTTGCAAGCGATGCGGAAATTCTCACACGTCCCAGTATCGGCCACAATGAGCGTGTGACCATGGTTGTCTGCAGCGATGGTCTTGAGGGGGGATTTTCCAATGCACGTCTCATTGGGCCTGGCATCTTCCGCGCCTCCGAAAGAGGCCTCGTCTTGCACAGCGTGCAAGCCCATCCTCCCAGGCTCCAAGACCAATCGTGCACCATACGGCGCCCAGGCACCGCGGAGGGGCAGGGAGGGGGAGCCATAGGCTTGGAGCAGGGACGGGTGCAGCCCCGAATGGGGCATTAAGTTATGAGGCTTGTGTTAGAGGCAACAGGAGGCCGCTTCGGCAAGACCTGACACGCATGACTTAGGACACGAGGCAGTGCAATTCGAGCTCTCTCAGTTCCATGGGGAGGGAGTTCGGGGAGGAAGTAGGAATGGGACGAGAGGAGGGGAGGATCAGGAGAAGGATGATTAAGAGGAGAAGGAAGGGGAGGAGGTGGAAAAGGGGGAGGTGGGGAGGAGAAGGAGGGGGAGGAGGGGGAGGAGGAGAAGGAGGAGGAGGAGGAGGAGGAGGAGGAGGAGGAGGAGGAGGGGGGGAGGAGGAGGAAAAGGAGGAGGAAATGGAGGAGGTACAATGGCCAGAGAATCGTGGCCAGGCACTGTGTAGCGGCTGCACCTAGGGAGTTCATGCCGCGTGCCGGGAGGGGGGGGGGCGGTGACACCAATTTACAGTGTTTCTGGGCCGTTTTCCGCCGGAGGAGGAAGAGGAAGTGGAGTTGGGAGTTACGAGTTATCCCACGTGGTGGGTGGTCGGGAGGAGGAGGCGAGGGGATGGGGGAGGGGGACAAGGTAGGTGCGGTCGCGCCATATCTGACATCCTACCCCTCCCAACCATCACTTCCCACCGCGCTGTGTTTGCCTTATCCGCCCATGGAGCGGACTTGGAACCATCAAAATGACGCCTTCGTTTCATGCGCATTCCAAGAAGGGGGATTGGGCACGGACGAGGAAGACCAGCAACAGCGATAGCCGGAGTGGATGAAGCGGGGGGAGCAGGATGACTGGGGGAATACCGGGGTGGGGGAAAGGAGGATTGCAAAAAAACCCTTCGAAGGATTGCAACAAAACCCTCGAGGGGTGGGTTTTTTGCAATCCTTCGGTTTTTTTTGCAATCCTTCGGGCATCGTGATACGGAACATGGGATCGATCCGACTCGGTTTCGATTCTCCAGCGATTCAGTCAGGCCCGATGTTTGCAGGGCGATGTTGCGCATCCTGGCGCGGCCGATCTGATTACGTAGGTTTCGACTACGTGCCGATGCGGACCAGTCCGACGACGCACGTTCAGATCCGATTCGAGTTCACGATGCGATGCTGACTGGTCCTCGAGCCCCTCTCATATTCTTTCTCTTCCTCCAGCCCCCTGCCGGCGATGGCGTCGCGGAGCGTCGATGCCGTGCGTCATCAAGCTCCAAGTGCACCAGGCGAGGGGCTTGAGCTGCGATGGCGACGACGAGAGCGGCGGACGCTACGTCGAGGCCTCGCTCCACAGCCAGACGCAGTACTCCAGCAAGAGCACAGGCCGGCATTAAACAAATCGGACATTTGAACATCAGTGGCGGGCTGTTTTTCAATCCCAGGCATTTTTCAGGGTCGGGGACGACGTCGGAGTGGTGTGGTGTATACTTGTTTCCGTGTTTTCCCGGGGAAGCAACGAAACATGTGTACACCAGGGTCCTCTAATAAGCAGGATCCTCTTTCCTGTGCAGGGCTGGAATAGGCGTCGGTGTATAGAGTTCGGTTCCCTAGAACACGATGTTTCGATGATGTCCGCGTTTCGGCCGGTTCGTTTCGGTTCGGTCGGCCGTTGTGTCAGGGCTGCGTCGCTGCGCCCTTCTGGCCTGCTTGCGCCTTTCCGTTTCATTCGGGTTCGGTCTTCGCTGCTGGCTGGGTCGGCTTTCGGTGGAGTGGTCGCCTCAAAAGTGCCCACGTAGGTCTTTGAGGAATCGGGTCCTGGGGGTTTTGTTGGCTGCTTTCGGGCTCCGGGGGCCATCCCTTCACGAGCCCCCTGGCCGTCGATCAGCGGCCCAGGATGAGGCAAATACCCTGGGGCCAGGACCTGCTCCCGCCAGGGAGGACCCCTGCCCACCATGCCAGACAGGCCCGCTGGACCGCCTGGCCTGGACCGGATGGCTGCGCATGGAGCTCTCGGACGACTTCGAGCTGCAGGACCACCCCTTGCGGCTCGGCGTCTGTAGCAGTGAGCAGGGCCCTCCCGACAGCGGGTCGGTGGCCATAGACCTGGAGCAGATCTTGCACAGCTTTGACGAAGAAACAATTGCATAAACGTACGTTCTGATAGGTACGCGCGGATTTTTTGGATCTGCGCTGAGCCCCACTGGCGGCGCCTCCGGCGTCCGCCCTGGCGCGGGCCCAGCGCGGGTCCGAGAAATTCGTGCGGACCTCCAGAAGCTTATGTTTATGGTTTTATTTTTTCCTCTACAGCCGCAGGCAACTGAACCAGCGGGAGGAGGAAGAGGTCAGTTTGAAGGGTTGGTTCCCTCTCTACGACACCCTCAGCGGCGTTCGTGGGCACATACGGGTGTCCGTCAAGATGCAGTTTGTGGGAGACCAGTCGTACAACGACCAGCTCACTTCCTCGGTGGGCGTCCGCTTCTTCTCCATGCCTGCTCCACCACAGTCTGGCGCGCTGGTTGTGGAGGAGCTCCTGGGACTCGTGGAGGAGCTGAAGGTTGTGCTTGATCCAGAATACCAGCACTGGCGTGACCTGATCCGGTCCGATCGCTCCTCCAACGAGGAAAGGCTCGGCGTGTTCCACGTGGCCGCCATGCAGGCGCGCCGCAAGCTCGGCAAGAAGGCTCTGGAGATGAACGCGAACGCCGTGCTCGGCTACCGCGAGTACGTCGACCTCGAGGGGGACGCCACTGACCGCATCTGCGTTCGCGCCTTCGGCACCGCCGCGCGCGTGGCGGCGCCGCGGCAGGGCGGGGAGGGGAGCGACCAGGCGGGCCTGTCCACGCCGCGGGACGCCCTCGCGGCGGCGCGCCCACTGGAGGGCGGCCACGGCCCAGAGCTGCTGCCGCCCGCCGCGCAGCAGCGCGCGGGGCTCGCGCAGGGCCCGCGCGCCCTCTCGCGCTCGCTCAGCGGAGAGGTCGCGGCCGCAGGGGCTGCGGCCGCGCTGCCGCCTCCAGATCGGGGGGCGTCGGCCGACCACCTCGCCGAGGCGGTCTCACCATGTGGCCGTCCCCACGGAGCAGGGCCGCGATTCGGGCGGTTGGGGCGGGGTGTGCGGGCGGGCCTCTACGGGCGGGTCGGGTGGGTGGACTCAAATTGGACAGGTCGGGCGGGCGGACCCTACCGGGCGAGTCAGACGTGTGTCGAAGAAGCAACACTGAATCCATGTACATTCTGGAAGGTCCGCACGGATCTCATGGATTTGCGCTGGACCCCCCCAGAATTTTAGGTATACGCAGTCTTTTCTCCTTGGCGACTGACCGCCTCACCAGTCTTGGCCGGGCCCATCCCAGGCCCAAGAACGATCTGCCCGCACCCGAGGCGTGGCTTGTGAGAGGCGCAGGCGCCGACCTGGGGGGTCAGGACTTGCCCGGTCACTGGGGCCGCCACGAGGGCGCCAAATATCGCGGTTCGCGATTATAGGTTCCATCGGATGATGAAATCAATAATCGCGAACCTCCTCTTCCTCCCCCTCCTCCCCCTCCTCTTCCTCTTCCTCCTGCTCCTGCTCCTCCTCCTCCTCCTCCTCCTCCTCCTCTTCCTCCCCGGTCGGGTGTCGCTGGCCCCGCCAGGCTCGGTGCGGATGAGCGCAAGAAGGTCGAAGCGCATACACCATGAAAGCGAGTGCAAGGCGGGAAGCAGCACAGAGACGGGCGTCACCCGCGTCCAGCGCCATTCAGGGCACAGCTCGCGTTTTCGAGAACGGGACCAAAAACAATGGGTAGTATTATTTGTCGCTAAGACGCTAAGAGGTAGTATCGTGCTCTTCCCCCTCGTCCTCCCCGTCTCCCACGGGGGGGCGGCGCGAGAGCGCGACAGTTGTCGTGCTTCGCGCAGCGCGAATCGCGAACACGGCTGCCCGTGGGCCAGGATTGAGGAGGTGGTCGGGTGGCGTCCCCCGATCCAGAGTCCCCGACGGCCAGAATGGCGATGGCGGAGCCTGTGCAGTTGCTGGCACCTTTTCGGCTGCACACCCTCAACCGGCTGCCAATAGACGTGCGACCCGCTTTGTGTGGCGTGGTCGCGGCCAGGGCCGTGAAGGTGTTCAGCTCGCGCACGACGCAGGACCAGCGCGAGTCCTGGTGGTCGGAGCTGCGGGAGGAGCTGCTGTCGCACGCGCGGGCCCTTGGCGGCGACACGATCGTGGGATACCAGGAGCATATATCCATCGTCGACGACGCAGGAGCCGTTTCGACTTCTTGTCGATTCGGATCGTTTCGGTTTCGAGATTTCGATTCGATTCGATTCGATTCCTAAATTCCGACTCCGAGCTGAGTTGTTTTTGTCCAGACTTCGATTCGATCTGGTTGGCGTCGATCTCGATGTTTCCCAACCTGCCGCCAGCCTCTGCTGATTCAATGTGTATTTCGATGTCCAGTCTCATTCATCGATTCGACCGTGGGTCACTTTTCGGTTGTGCGTAAGAGTGACCCTTCGCCGGAGTGACCTTCGGTGCGGGCCCATTGGGGTTTCCGATCGCTCAACACGATGCGATAGTACCGGATTGCGCGCGTGGGGTTGGCCCTCCTCGCCCCCCCCCCTAAAGCCGGGCACCACAGGACGCGCAGAGGGTCATTCTGGCGTCTAGCCGGATCCTGCAGCCCAGGCTCGGCGCAGGCCTGGGCCACCAGGAACCGCGAGGCCGTGGCAATGCTGTCCGTGATGGGCACCGCGGCCCTGCGGGCGCCCGCGGGCGAGAGCCCGGGCGCACGCCGGTGCGCAATGGTCCACGCGTCCGAGGGGCGCAGCGACTCCGGCCGCCTGAGCCGCTGCCTCGCGTGCGGCGATCGGGGGCGTCCAAGAGGGGGGGTGTGCAGGGGCGGCTGGCGCATAGTATAGTTGGCTGGGCGCGGCTGGCGTGTCGTACACCAAAGCACGCCGCCCCCGATCCAAGATGGGGGTGTGGGCTAGATGGGTCGGGGGAGGGGCAGCATAGCCAGAGCCGTGAGACATCACGGCGGCAGGATTTCGGCCGTTTCGGCCTCCGGGGGCCCGCAGCGGGCTTCAAGCGGCTTGGGATGAGACGCCGGTCCTTGGGAAGGCGTCCAGACCTCTGGGGGTGCACGTTGTGAGGAACTCACGACGTCGGAGGTCATGACTAGGCCTTTTTATCTCCCAGATGTCGTGGCCCCCTCCATTTCTTTCGATACGCCCCCTGGCGCCCACCTCGTCCTAGCACATGCCTCGGGCCATGATGCGCTAACCCCTCTTCCTGGCCCCTCTCTCTTCGGAGCACCCGAGGCGAGGGCCTAGTTCCCAACGTGCTCCTGGCCACCGTGGACTTCCCCGAGGGCCTGCCCATCGCTGGCCGCCCCCAGCTCGTCGAGGCGCGCGTGTGCCGGCTGAAGCGCCGGCTGCACGGCGAGGCGAACGCGGGCTGCCTCTCGGAGGCGCTTCCTTTCCTGGAGCTCAGCGGAGGAACAGATCTCGATTTCGTTGGTCCTCCTCCTCCTCCTCTTCCTCCTCCTTCTCCTCCCTCTCCTTCTATTCCTCCTCCTCCTCCTCATCCTCCTCCTCTTCCTCCTCCTCCCCCTCCTCCTCCTCCTCCTCCTCCTCCTCCATCCCTTCTCCTTATAGATAACTTCTCCCTGTCGCACCCCGAGGCCAATTTTTAGGGCGGGCCAGGTGTGTCGCCTGACACTTCAACGTTTATGCTTCCGAAGCTCAAAAAGTTTCAACAGTTTCACAAAAAATGTGGTTCTCGCTTCAGCGCCGCGCACATTCGTTTTAAACATTTGCAAGAGTTTCACGGATTGATGGCGGGTCGTTTTCAAAATGTGGTTCTCGCTTCAGCGCCGCGCACATTCGCTTCAAAAAAATCCACCAAGAGTTCTCCAGATTGAGCCCGGGTGGTTTTCAAATTGTGGTTCTCGCCTCATCGCCGCACACAGTCGTTTTAAACATTCGCACGGATTCAGGGCGGGTAGTTTTCAAAATGTGGCTCTCGCTTCAGCGCCGCACACATTCGTTTAAAACATTTGCAAGAGTTTCATGGATTGAGGGTGGGTAGTTTTCAAAATGTGGCTCTCGCTTCAGCGCCGCGCACGCTTGTTTTAAACATTTACAAGAGTTTCACGCATTGAGGGCGGTTAATTTTCAAAATGTGGTTCTCGCCTTAGCGCCGCGCACATTCGTTTTAAACATGTGCAAGAGTTTCACGGATTGAGGGCACGTGGTTTTCAAAATGTGGCTCTCCCCTCAGCGCCGCGCACGTTCGTTCTAATCATGTGCAAGAGTCCCACGCAGTCTCATGATCAGCGTACCAGACATGGCTTTTTTTGGAAGGGTTCAGGATTACTTGCGGGTGCAATAGTTATGTTGATTCGCGGTGTCGAAGTCCCCAAAATGGCATTCTGGCACGATCCAGGATCGTCAAGACGCAGCAGTCAGGTTGACACGTGGCGAGAACAATGTGTTGGCATGCTTCAGGAACTTCAAACGGTTGTCTTCCAACGAGGCAGTTGCTCAGTGGGAATGAACCGTTGTAGGGGCCTGTGAACAGGGAGCTTGGAGGGAGGGTTAATCCCAACATCGGTGATGACTATTGGGTTTGCACTGGTCCTCCTCCTCCTCCTCCTCCTTTCCTCTTCTTCCTCCTGGACAAACGAGCGAAGATCAAAAACGGATCTCACGCGAGATTACATAGTGGCCTTACGCGGTGGCTTTGCGGGCCGCCCGCGCGGCACGCTACCGTGGAGAAGAGGGCGTTCATGCGCGACCTTGCGCGGGCAGCCTACGTGCCAGTGTCGGTCGTCCTGGAGAACCCTCTTCGCCACGGCTTGAGTCTCCTCGGGGTGAATTTCTTGCCCCCACAGGAGCTGGAGCTGCACAAGCAGCTGGTGCACAAGATGCGCGTCATGGGCCTGAATGCCGCCTTCGGCCTCCGGGTGGAGATCTCGCACGGCCCCTCTCGGCGCCACAGGGGCGGGCACCCAGCAGCGGGCACTTCTCTCCGGCAGAGCGCGGGAAGGTGGCAGGGAAGCGGCAGGGAGGCGCCGGGCTCCTGCACCGATCTGCGTCCCCGCTCACTGCGTTCCCGCCGCGGCGGCGCCGAGTCCATCTCTGCTGATCGGCGTGGCGACGGCCACCGCGGTGCTGGTGCCGGCGCTGCCCCCGCCCCCCACGGTCCTCGTGCAGCCTGGGCGCCCGAGCCTCGCTGCGGGGGCGCCGGCCGCTCCCGGCGACCGCTCCGCGGGCGCGGGGGGGCTCCACAGGTCGGTGGCCCGCGCGGAGGCGGCGCAGCACGGGCCGAGCAGGTGGCGGCGGCTGCCGCTGCCGTTCCTCCAGTGCCCGCCGCGCCTTCGCGCGGCTGGGCCCGTGAGGATCCAGAAGTCAAAAGCAGGGGCGAAGCGTCCAGGCCTGCCTACAGGGCCCCAGAACCTTGTCCTGTGGTCTGTGCGACATGTTCGTGTTCTTGGAGCATCTCTGGCTGCGACTGTCTTGTTTTGGGTTTTCGTTATCAGAACATGGTTTTTGTTCTGAGAACATTCTTGGGGTTCTAAGAGCATGTCGTGGTAGGCCTACAGAAATGATGGGACGGTCGGTCCCTGCTCAAAGAAGAAGGCACGGATGCCGCAAACCTTCCCTTGGCACGACGGCTGGATTCTCCCCGAGGGCACTTCTCGTGCCAGTGCTTCTCCCAACCATCTTGTCTTTTGGTGTTGGGTCCTTGTTTTGAACAGAGAGCGCCCCGCGTCTCCTTCCCACCCGCCGCCTCCTCCTCCCCATCCTCCCATCCCTGCCTCTGCCCGCCGCACCCAGTACAGCGTTTCGGGGCCCCACAGGGAGCTCCACCGAAGGCCCCAGCGTTTGTGATCACATGCGTCCGCGCACGAGAAGTTATGATTACAGCCCTTCGTGGCCGCCATAGGGAGCGCCACAGCACTGCGTGGCCCCATAGGCGGCTCCACCGAAGGCCCCAGTGGCTGTGATCACACGCGCCCGCGCCACCCAGTACAGCGCTTGTGGCCCCATAGGGAGCTCCACCGAAGGCCCTAGTGGCTGTGATCACACCTTGTGGGTCTCACAGCTGCATCTGGCTGGGCCCCTCGCCAGGATAAGTTCGTCCCTCCCAGAGGAGGGCCGCCTCGGCGGAGCCCGCGCCCAACGCGGCGCAGTCCCGCCTCCTCTCGGGCGTCGGGCGCGCCGGTGAACCCGGCGGACCCCAGGCCGCCGAGCGCTTGGCCGCGGCCGTGTCCTGGCACGCCGCGCGCTGCGCCGAGGCGGCGAGCTACCTGGCGGACTCCTTCGACTGGACGTCGGGGACAACGGCAGGGGGGGGCTCTGTCCCCGTTGTGACAAAACGCGGCGCAAGATTATTTGTTGAGCATCGGCCTCCGCGGGCCATTTACGAGGCCCGGGGGCCGTCAAAAGCGACTCGTGATGAGATAAAGGAGCGACGAACGAAAACGGAGTCGACTACGCCGACAATCGCGCGTAAGTTTCCCAAGTAGGCCGCGCGTAAGCGCCCTCTTCTCCACGCGGTGTGCCACGCTGGCGGCCCGTGCACGCCGCGGCACAAGTCCGCTTTGTCCTCTTGCGTCAGACCCACTTCTCTGCATCGTTCAAATGTCCCTGGGGAAAGGTCCAGGCCTTCAGGGTCCACATTGTGAAAGAGGTTTCGACGTTGTGTTCGTTTTCGGATTCATTGTTTGGCCGATGGGCGCGGGCCCTCGTCCTCCCCCCATGGAGTAGATCTTGGCTGGTGTTGGAGCATGTTCAGAGCGGGGTGAGCCTCCCCCAGGGGAGGCACTGTTGCTGACAGTCGCATTAGGCAGAAGTCCGGAGCCAGACTCCCCCCTCCCCTTCCGCCCAATGTCGAAACACCTGAATAAGAACATGCTCACGGTGGAGCTCTGGGTTGTTCAGGGGCGCCGGCGGAGAGGGGGGGACTGGCCCAGGGGGGGGGGGCCATCGACCCCCAGTCGCCCGTTCCTCGCCGATCGGGGCCCAGGTGCCCAAACATCTGCCCCGGAACGCAAGGCTTTCCTGTCGAGGGCCCTTCGCCGATCTGTCGGCGATGTATCGGCGGTTCCAGGTCAGCGTCTCCCCCCCTGAGGCAGTCCCTTTTTCTCACGGGGAACCCACAAGCTGCCCAAGCCGCTTCTCCCCAGGCCTCTTCTTCCGTGGCTCGTTTTACCGAGAGTTCCGAGGGGAAACCGGCCGTGGCGACGAGCAGTGGGTAGCGGTACGGGGGTTATTTCTCACGACTTTCGGCAGCCTCTGAGTTGTGCGCATGCGATGCGTTGCTACTCCCATCAGAGACGACTGATCTCCTCTGGTGGCACGGCGCTCGTCAAAACCCGTCAGGACGGCGGAGGCCTTGATGGCTCGCGAGGTCCAGCAGCGGGCGCGCGCCAGCGAGGCGGCTGCGGCGGGCGCCGAGGCGGGCGCGGACGGGCTGCTGCCCGCGCTGGCCGAGGTCGGCGTCGACGCGCGGGGGGGGCTGAAGAGGCAGACGTCCGGCGAGGCCTCCCGGTCCGTGTTCGTCGTCGAGGCGGACCAGGACGGGGATTCACGAAATTCGGCGGAGCGCCAGTTGTCGGGCACATGCCGCCGGCCACGATTTGCAGACCCCGCTCTTGGACGCCCCCCTCTTCGCCGCCCCCTAAGTTGAGGGCAGCGGTGATCAGTCGAGGGGGCCCCTCATCGCCAAGGCTGGACGCAGCTCGGACAATTCTTGCGCTCAGACCTTGGGAGGGGTCGGGGGACCTATCTGGGCTTGCTGATGCCCTGGTCCCAGGAACAGGGTTTTCGACAGTTTCGGAAGTTCTGAGTTTCTCGGGGCCCAGGGGGGGTTCCGTCAGCTACTCCCCATCGGTAGTCGAGAGCGTTCCAGGGATGCCAGGATCGTCCCGAATGGCCGCCTGAGGCCCGCGTTATATTGTCCGAAAACCAAATCGGTGGACGTGGGTCGGCTTATCTCTTTGGCGGACCAGGGCTCGGAAGCCTCACGTTGAGCCGATCCCCCTTCCCGCCCTCCGCTGACCTGGGTTGGAAACTTTGAGCGGTGGTCTGGGTCTCGTCTGACCCAGGTTATAGTCAAGACGCTGACATGAAGACCACTGGGTTCAGGAGGAGCTCTGTTTGTCGGGCCGTTCCATAGATCCATGTCGGTGAGCCGATTCGTGATTGAGGCTCGCCGTAGCCAGAAAGGATTTCTTTCTGGTAGCACGATGACTGTAGCGCGTCCCCGACAGGACGGCGAGGACCTGCTGGCCATCGACGACCCGCTGGTACCCGAGGGCATGGCCTTCTGTACCGTCGAGTGCCCGCCGGGCGGCGCAAGCGCCTTCACGGCGCCAGGATGGGTGCCCAGAGGGTGGTGCTGGCCAGTGAGTAGTAGATACCCGACAAATCAAGACGGGTGGTTTTGGCAGTTGTCGGCCAACAGGGGCCTTCACCGAGCTCCATGACAATCAGACAACGACGCGGGCAGAACAACCTGTCCCGGGGAAGGCATTTAGATTTTCGAGGATCATAACCAGTGCTATAATTTCTGCCCATATTTCGTAGTTCCTTCCTCCTCTCTCAATGCATCTGCTGGTTCCCCCTCGTCTGCTCACATGCCTTGGGCCACGAGTTGCGACCCCCATTACGGACGCACCCTTCTTGGACGCTCCCGAAGGCGCCGGCGGGGGCCGAGGACACCTCCTGCTCGGTGGTCTACGGCGTGCGCCGCGTGGATCTCTTCCGGGACTTGGGGCTCAACAGGCACGGCGCCTTCTTTCGTCCGAGCGATCCGATTCGAGTCGAGATCACCGTGCTCGATACGATTCGATTCCGAATTCTAGACTAGACGCTTCGCGTATCCCCTCGGCGCAGCCCAGCCCCCGCGCAGCTCCCCTCGGCGGTAGGTTTAGTCTGCTTGCTCGGCGCGCGCGCCGGCAATTAAGGTGCTCGCGGCCCGTGCTACTCTACTGACGCTGTCGGCGCGCTCGTCGGCAGCTGCGACTCAAAAAGTATCCCCACCAGCCGGTGCTGCTTGTTCGCAGCTTCTGTCTTCGGCCGCTGCGGTTAGGCTTGCTGGACCCTTGCGACGGCGCGTGGCTCTACCGCTTGCGCTCGCGAGCGAAAAAGGTATCCCCACCAGCCCATCCAGAAACGATACCCAGGCGAGTTGAGGTGATCAGGGATGTGGGGGAGCAAAGAAGGGGACGGCCGAACCGTGCGAAAGAGGGAGGAGGAGAAGGAGGATGTTGGCTGGATGGATGAGGAAGTTGGGAGAAGGAGGATGAATGGGAGGAGGAGGTAGAGGAGGAGGAGGAGGAGGAGGAGGAGGAGGAGGAGGAGGCGGAGCAGGAGGAGGGGAAGGAAGGCGGAGCAGGAGGAGGAGGGGGGCTAACAAAATGGCCAGAGATCTGTTGGATGTTTTTTTTTGTCGGAGCTTCCTGGGATATCTCTTAGGCGTTGCTTGGTGGCCCCTTGGAACGTCTTGGGGGTCTCTTGGCGGTCCTGGGAGGCTCTTGGGCGTATTCGGTGCCTCGGGGGGCCTCTTGGGGCCTCTTGGGTTCCTCTTTGGTGCCTCCTGGGGGCCTCTTGGGGACCTCTCGGGGCCATGTTGGGAACATCTTGGGGCCTCTTGGGGCCTCCTGGGCATCTCTTGGGGCCATCTTGAAAGAGATCGATCAAATAATAGGGGAGCTTCAAATAGCGTCCGCCCCCCAACGAGGCCTACATGGGGCCAACACCATAATAAAACCAATGATTGTGGCTTCCTCTCCGAGGCCGTTTTGAGCGGTCTAACTATCCGCGACTGGCCCCGTCCAGGTCCAGGGGAAGGGGGTAGGGATAGGGGTCAAGACACCCACCCGCCTGCAGGCCGTCTAGCTCGTTCCCACCCACCCTCCCTTCACATACGTCACACCCAAGCGTGAGCATGTTTAGCGGTCGCCTTTGGATGGACAGCTAGTGGGAACCAAAGCCGACCCCAGGTGCGCGACGTTTGGGCGAGGTGCCACGTGTGCCAGGGGGCGCCACGCGCGCCAGGCACCCCTGTGGCCCGAGCGTGCCAGGCACGCCTGGTGCGCCAGATGCGCTACGTGCTCCGAGTGCGCCAGGTGTGCCGCACACCCCAGCCGCGCCAGGTGCGCCGCGTTCGGGGCAAGTGCAGAGTGCGTCAGGTGCGCCTGCGCAAGTGACAGCACACATCGGGAAACATGTCGGCCCCCGCCATCCTTGTCGAAAACCGATGCCCATCATTGTGTGTGCTGGGCCTGCGCACAGCAGGCCCCGCGCCACCACCCCCGCCGTCCCTGTCAAAAACCTTTTGACAGTGATCGCGGGATGGGCGCGCACGATCCATATTTAGCCGCGATGCGCATGTTGTATTATTTTGTTGTCAGGGGTGCTAGCCCTGCGCACAGCAGAGAATATGCTGACACCCTCGCCGTCCTTGCCAAAAACAATACAAAGTGCTCGCGGGCCTGACGAACATGACCCAAGACTTTGCCCCACAGTGTATTTTGCATATGTTTTTGACAGGGATGGTGGGAGGTGGGTGGGCATGGTGTCTGCATGGTGCTTGGTTGGCCCGCGGTCGCCTGGGGGAGGGGGTGTACATCAATATGGAACAAATATACACCCTCCCCGAAAAAAGGAAAGAGGGAGGGGTGGAAGAGGAAACGCCCTAAACCACCTACGCCCAGCGGGCTGGTGGGATGCAAGTGGGTCCGATGCGGCCAGCTGCTTGCGCGGGCTAAGATTGTGCATCTTGGTGCGGTTGACACGATCCGATACCGACTTCGTGCCGATGCCGCCCGATTCGACACACGTTCCGAGCCGCCCGATGGCCGGATTTGATGTTGATTTCATCGACACGGGGGGGTCAGCCCATTTGGCAGGCACCGCCTCGCAATCTACCATCCATGCCAATCGGCGCTTGGGTCCCCCAACCCGCCCAGGAACGCGTGGTTTCGCTATCAGGAGCACATCGCCGACCTGTCGGCGAAATATCCGACTCCATGTCGACGTTGCCCCCACGTTTCCCGTCGTGATTGGTTCCATTCATGTTCTCGGTTCTCGAACCAGGACATGATTCACTCACGAGCCTTGAAAGGAAGAGGATATAAATGTGAGGCATGGGAGCGTCTTCGCGGCACTTGATTTGTCGACGGGCAAGTGCATTGTTGAATGTGTCGATGGTGATGTACCGAGCCAGGTATATGTTGTGGTGGAGCGTGCTGATTTTGAATGGATCTTGCCATGTTGAATCGAGGTGTGCTATGTTGCGTTGTGGTTCTAGTCGTCCTTGGCATCCGAGGCTTGACCGAACTGATATGGATCTTAACGCTCGACTTGTCTGAACGCATAGCTCGCCCAGAGCTGGTTGCAACCGAAACATACGGGGCGATCGACCTGCTCAAACTCAACATTCGCTTCATTTCCGAAAGGGGACGAACTAACAAGGTGCAAATCCGAAGCGAGACGAAACGCACCGACAATGGACGGACCGACACCCTGTGAAGCGAGACGCGACGAAGTGAGACAAGACGAATGGACACAGTACGAACCAAGACGAGGGCAAACCAAACTTTCTTCGAATCGGGGCAAAACGAATTGGGTCTGGGACACGTCGAGAACGTTTCGGTTCACCCTCCTGAAGCCACATGGCATGTGGCGTTTTTTCCCGAAGGAGCCGCAGTCCGAGGGCAAAGACCTTCGCAAATAACTAGGGATGTGCGCCCTCAGCGCTGCGGTCCTGGCGCGCACTGCGATTCGTCAGTGCTGTGCGGCTTCGTGCTGGGTTGAATCATGCGGGGTGGGCCCTTCAGATGTGATAGTCAGGAGGGTCCGATAGGTGTGCTTTCACGGCCTCCTGGGTCATCCTGGGGCGTCCACGTTCCTCACACCCCGCAGACACCGCGTTTCGCCCCAGGCCTGCTCAGCAGATTACGCAGGACACGTGTTTCGTTTGATTCATGTTCAACTCTGCGAGAGGAACGCTTCGCCTGAGACATCCTCTTTTTCCTTCATCTGGCATTGCTGCACAGTGCCAGCTTCCTGGGAAAAAAAAACAGTGGATAACTCTATTCCGAGACCAGACGACGGTGAATGTTATCTTTCGGCCTTCTTCCAGCGAGCCAGCAGTCGGCCACGAGCTCCGTTGCCTCTCTCCGGCGCTTCGTGCTGCGGGTAAACGGTGGACTTGCCCGTTCAGGCGGTGGGCCACCGACAGGCAGCAGCGAAGAAGCCCCAAGGAGGACGAGACGAGCCAGATCGCCATCCAATGGCGGACGCAGCCGACGCAGCTCAACAGCCGATATTTCATTCTTAGGAAGAATGGACAAGGAGGCGTCTCATGCAGGAGTTCAAGCGCTCGTGAGCGCGACTGTCATGTCACTCCACCTTCCCGCACTGACAGCGATATCATGGGAGCCATGCGAGCCATGATGACCAAGATGGGTACCAATGTCATCGCCAGCATCGACGCTTCGACGGCTGCCATCCAGACCAGACCCCACCACCAAGAGGCCTTCGTCATCGCGCTCGGCGGCAGCCACCGTGTCTTTGGCCCGTGACGCGCTGCCCGCTCACCTGGAGCAGATGCACGCTCTCGCGCAGCAAATGCAGGCCATCTCCCAGAAGTCCGACGACGCGCTCACGAGCGTAGACGCCTCCGCCAGACGCGGAGCGAGGGCCCAGAGCCCGTCGCATCCCAGTTGTTCGCGCCAGTCTGGCACCCGCCCTCTCGCGCGCTTCGCGGGGTCACTTTCCTTCGCCCCGTCCACGAAGTAGTTTGTGAAGCTCTCTGCGCGCGTCTTATCGAGGCTCGCCCACGCCTTTAATGTGCCGAAGTTGCGCTCCACGCCGTTGCTCAGATTTGCAAGGTCATCTTCTGGGAGCTCGCCAGTGCCAAGCAGTTCGCGAGATAGACTGCCAGGAGGCCGCCCAGTGGATGGGCCCGACGGCGGGAGGTTCACAGCAACGCTGGGCACGACGTGGTCCGCCCTCCGACGCGCGCGACCGCCGGCGCCAGATCAGCCGCGTCCATCGTCCTATTTTGCAGGTCTTGGAGGCGCGCCTAGAACAGAGCTCAGAGCGCAAGCTCGCAGCCAACGGCTTCAACGGCGAGGTGATGGTCGCCACCGCGGGGCGTTTCGTGATAGTAGAAGCGCCATGGAGATTGGCACCCCAAGAAGAGTGCCAGGCGGCTCGAGATGGCGAGTTCACACGCGGGGGGGCCTCCGCGCACGGGGCACAGGCCATCTTCACTTCCGCCCGCCGAGCCGCAGCGCGACAAGTCGCGTGCGCACAAGTGGGCCATGTCCTTTTTTGTTCACAATGTAGCCAGCGCCCGTCTGCCTCTGTTGCGGGGGGGCGCCGCGCATGCCCGTCGCGCCAGTCGCTCGGAAGAGCCGACGAATTCGCATCGCGAGCAGCCCCCCTCCCGCGCAGGCCCAGCTCAGCCGCCCCCGCCCGCCAGCGCATGCGTTTATTTTCCGTTCCCCCCGCTCAATTGGCCGGCGGAAGATTGAGGCGCTTCGGGGCCCTGCTCATTCGCATCAGCATAGCGCATAGCCTCTGGCCCACGTCTGGACATGCCCCGGCTTGAAGCCATTGGGGCGTAAGAATCGCGTGGGGATTGTGGGCGTTGATCACCTTGGTCATGAGTTCGAGTCGCGCGACTGCGATCGGGGCTTTCGTTCGCCCGTTTGTGCAAGGGGGCGCCCCCCTTGTCTCCGCGATATTGCTTCAGCGCTGGCAGGTGAGGG